CAAAGACCCTCCCCACCCCCTCCCCAGCCACAAAGACCCTCCCCACCCCCTTCCCCAGCCACAAAGACCTCCCCCCCTCCCCAGCCACAAAGACCTCCCCACCCCCCCCCACCACAGACCTCCCTACCTCCCCACCACAAAGATCTCCCCACCTCCCCAGCCACAAAGACCCCTACCCTCCCAGCCAAAGACCTCCCCCACCCCCTTCCCCAGCCACAAAGACCTCCCCTACCCTCCCCCAGCCACAAAGACCTCCCTACCCCTCCCCCAGCCACAAAGACCCTCCCCACCCCTTCCCCAGCCACAAAGCCTCCTACCCCTCAAGACCCTCCCCCTCCCTACCACAAAGACCACCACCCCACCATCAAAACCCCTGAAAGAGCGAATATAAAAATTGATATTGAGGCGGAAGGAAGCTAAGCTATGCCATCCTAACATTAACGTCGTGAAGGTTAGAGGTCAAATTGCATTATTAGTTTACTGGTATTTCAACCTTAAATGTCATTCACGTTCGGATGTCTCTCGCTTCTAACACCTCGTCCTCTTGTTAAGGATACGCCAGCGGGAAGACTTATGCGTGAGGAGGGAGAGTGAGTTAGTTCGTTAATCAGTATGTTGGTGTATATCAGGAGAGAGAGAGAGAGAGAGAGAGAGAGAGAGAGAGAGAACACACACACACACACACACACACACACACACACACACACACACACACACACACACACACACACACACACACACACACACACACACACACACACAACTCCCCAGGTGTCCATCATCCCTTTAATTACCTGTGGGTGTGTTGGTTCCCTTTTAAAACACTACGTCCATTGCGGTACATATTGAATAAAACAACTGGTGAATAATTTACACTTCATTCATTCAGAGTCTGGTCCAAAAATATAGTTACAAAATACAGATACAGCAAAATTTTGTAGCGTCAAAACTTGGATATAATTCTACAGGTGTAAATTTTGTGTACCTAAGCTGTGTGTTGCGTATATTTTGGGATCGGGAAATAACAGTGTAAAGGATGTCAGGATGTCAGGTTATAAGATAGGCAATATGACATCCTAGTGACGTCAGAAGAATATATGTGTATCTCCGGTGACGTCAGACGGATATATATGTGTGTATATCCTCTGATGTCAGAAGGATATATGTATCCCTCTTCTGTGACGTCAGAGGGCTATATGTATCCATCCCCTGTGACGTCAGAGGGCTAAATGTATCCATCCTCTTTGACGTCAGAGGGCTATATGTATCTCTCCCTCTCCTGTGACGTCAGAGGGCTATATGTATCTCTCTCCTGTGACGTCAAAGGGCTATATGTATCTCTCCTGTGACGTCAGAGGGCTATATGTATCTCTCTCCTGTGACGTCAGAGGGCTATATGTATCTTCTCCTGTGACGTCAGAGGGCTATATGTATCTCTCCCCTGACGTCAGAGGGCTATATGTATCTCTTCCTGTGACGTCAGAGGCTATATGTATCTCTCCGTGACGTCAGAGGGCTATATGTATCTTCTCCTGTGACGTCAGAGGGCTATATGTATCTCTCCTGACGTCATAGGGCTATATGTACTCTCCCAGACGTCATAGGGCTATATGTCTCTCCTGTGACGTCAACATATACACCATAAAAAAGATTTAAACGAGTGAATAAGTAAGTTTGTTTTAGACTAAATAAAATTTTATTTATTATTTAGAAAAAACAAAAGAGGTGGGGAGTCCTATGATAAACGACCCCACCCTGCCCTAAACTGACCCACTCCTGCCCTAACTGACCCACTCTCCCCCTAAACGACCCACCTGCCCCAACTGACCCACTCTGCCCTAAACTGACCCACCCTGCCCTAAACTGACCTACCCTGCCCTAAACTGACCACCCTGCCCTAAACTGACCCACTTGCCCTAAACTGACCCACTCTGCCCTAAACTGCACCTGCCCTAAACTGACCCACCCCTGCCCTGAGGAGGTGGGAAGAGAAGGGAGGGTTGGGTGGGGTGGGTAGATGAAGGAGAGAGAGGGAAGGAAGGAGGAGGGAATGAAGGGAAGGAAGGAAGGCAGAAATGAATGAATGGAGGAAGGAAGGAAGGAAGGAAGGAAGGAAGGAAGGAAGGAAGGAAGGATACCATTATCATACGCCTGTTATGTTTTGTTTATTTGGGGGGGAGGGCAGAACGCGAGAGCAGATCCACTTTAATAAAAAAACCTCCCCAGGTGTTAGTGCTGCCCACCTGAGTGTTGAGGCAGGTGTAGTAATCGGTAGTCAACCAGTACACACCTGCCCAGCCTCTCTACACCTGTCACCTGGCTTAACTTCAATCAGTACACACCTGTCATCTGGCCTAATCTCAATCAATACACACCTGCCCAGCCTCTCTATACCTGTTACCTGGCCTTACCTTTACCTTCCATACACCTGTCGGATGGTTCAAGGTGGGGGGCGAGAAAGGTGACTGAGGGAGGAGGAAGAGGAGGAGGAAGAAGAGGAGGAGGAGGAAGAGGAGGAGAGAGGAGGAGGAGGAGGAGGAGGAGGAGGACAAACAGACAATCCTCACACCACATTTCCACGAATTTGATCTATTCTGTTATGCAAATTACCGAGCCATTAAATAACACGCCCACACACACACACACACACACACACACACACACACACACACACACACACACACACACACACTTTTTTATATAGAATCACGTGAAGCAAAAAATAAAAAAAGAGTCGTATTTTGTTCTTGGAAAAAGAAAAAAAACTAATTTAATTTCGTGCACAAAAAGTCGCCACGTTATATTATACCGACACCTAAAAGAAAAAACAAACAAACAAACATTTAATATTTATCTTAAGAAAAATGAATAAAACAGACAGACAGACAGACAGACAGACAGAGACACAGACATACAGACAGACAGACAGACAGACAGAGACACATACAGACAGACAGACAGACAGACAGACAGACATAGACAGACAGACGACACAGACAGACAGACAGACAGACAGACATACAGACACAGACAGACAGACAGACAGACATACAGACACAGACAGACAGAGACAGACAGACATACGACAGACACAGACAGACATGGCACAGCAAGACAGACAGACAGACAGACAGAGAGACACAGACAGACAGACGACAGACAGACAGGACAGACAGACAGACATACAGACACAGACAGACAGACAGACAGACATACAGACACAGACAGACAACACAGACAGACATACGAACAGACAGACACAGACAGAGACATACAAGACACAGACAGACACAGACAGACAGACAGACAGACACAGACAGACAGACAGACAGACATACAGACACAGACAGACACAGACAGACAGACAGACAGACACGAACAGACAGACAAACAGACATACAGACACGAACAGACAGACATACAGAACACAAGACAGACAGACAGACAGACAGACAGAAGACACGAACAGACAGACCAGACAGACAGACGAACAGACATACAGACACAGACAGACGAACGAACGAACACAGACACAGACAGCAGACATACAGACATGAACAGACAGACAGACAGACAGACATACAGACAGACAGACAGACAGACATACAGACAGACAGACAGACAGACAATTACTTTACGTTTACATTAAAAAAATTCCCCGGACAAACACGTAATTTTAGTTTCGTTTCAGAAAAAAAAATAAAACCCAGATTTTTTATAATAAATAAATAAAATAAACCAACCATAAATAAGCCTGCGGGCTCAGGGCTCAGGAACCTCTTATAAGGGCGTCCTGGGGTCCAAATTCAGGGATATCTAGGGGATCCTCTGGCCAGTCCCACGTTCTCCTCCTTGTCCTCCTTCTCCTTCAGCGTCCTTAGAGCTGGAGACACCCCCTCCTCCCCACACGCCCCCTTCTCCTCCCCAGACACCCCCCTCCCCTCCCCTCCCTCCCCCACCCCCCTCCTCCCACCCGCCCTCCTCCCCACGCCCCCCCTCCCCACCCCCCCTCCCACCCCCCCCCCTCCCCGCCCCCTCCCTCCCCACCCCCCCTCCCTCCCCACGCCCCCCTCCCTCCCGCCCTCCTCCCCACCGCCCCTCCTCCCCACACGCCCCCCTCCTCCCCACGCCCCCCCCTCCTCCCCACCCCCTCCTCCCGCCCCCTCCTCCCCACACGCCCCCTCCTCCCCACGCCTCCCCTCCCCCCCTCCCCACGCCCCCCTCCCCACCCCCCTCCAACCCCTCGGCCAGTTGCATTATAGTATGAGAAAAATTCAGAGACAGCCGGAAAGTTAAACCATCGTTCTCAAAGGGTTAAACCATCGTTCTCAAAGGGTTAAACCATCGTTCTCAAAGGGTTAAACCATCGTTCTCAAAGGGTTAAACCATCGTTCTCAAAGGGTTAAACCATCGCCGTCAAAGGTTTAACCATCGTTCTCAAAGGGTTAAACCATCGTTCTCAAAGGGTTAAACCATCGTTCTCAAAGGGTTAAACCATCGCCGTCAAAGGGTTAAACCATCGTTCTCAAAGGGTTAAACCATCATTCTCAAAGGGTTAAACCATCATCCTCAAAGGGTTAAACCATCATCCTCAAAGGGTTAAACCATCATCCTCAAAAGGTTAAACCATCGTCCTCAAAGGGTTAAACCATCATCCTCAAAGGGTTAAACCATCATCCTCAAAGGGTTAAACCATCCTCATTTTTAATATTTCCTCACCAGCCAGTGTTACCAACTCTACCCAAACACCGTCAAACGTTACCAACTCCCAGTAAAGTGTCGCCCAAACACGCCATATGCTATAAATTGGTTCACAGATAATATGCATTTAGGTCATGTCGATCGATCTAGCAGCTACGTATATGAGTAAAACACACACACACACACACACACACACACACACACACACACACACACACACACACACACACACACTTTTCCCCCCTCCCACATACTAATAAGTCATCTCCTAACCTGTGTGTCTGTGTGTATGTCGGCAGGTTACATTCTATGGTATAAGGGAGAGAGACTGGTGGAATATGACACCAGCGGCGGCCGTATCCAGGTAGTGACAGAGGCTGACGGAGTGAGTCACCTGCTACTGAAGGATGCTCACCCTAGCGACTCGGCGAATTATACCTGTTCCCCATCGAGTGGTACACCGGCCTCCCTCCTGTTAAACGTCATTGTAGGTGAGTGACCCCTCTTCCTCCTCGACTTCTTCCTCTCCCTCAACTTCGTCCCTCCTCCTCCTCCTCCCACCCCTTCCTCTCCCTCAACCTCGTCCCTCCTCCTCCTCCTCCCACCCCTTCCTCTTCCTTAACCTCGTTCCTCCTCCTCCTCCTCCTCCCACCCCTTCCTCTCCCTTAACCTCGTTCCTCCTCGTCCTCCTCCTCCCCACCCCTTCCTCTTCCTTAACCTCGTTCCTCCTCCTCCTCCTCCTCTCACCCCTTCCTCTCCCTCACCAGGAAATGTTGTAAATGGTGTTTACTGTAAATAGATTTTTTCTTATAACAATGCAGGTATAAAAAGGAACAACTCTACTGTAAATTATAGTGTAAGTGCACAGGGACTTTTCGATCACCGTGTGTTATTAACCAATCCCTTTCTAGGTGGTTTCAAGCTTGTAAACAGACAACACAAAGTATTTCACGTGATTTCAAGCTTTTAAACAGACAACACAAAGTATTTCACGTGATTTCAAGCTTTTAAACAGGTAACACAAAGCCTTCCACGTGATTTTAAGCTTTAAACATGCAACTTAAAGTATTTCACGTGATTTCAAGCTTTTCAACAAACAACACAAAGTATTTCACGTGATTTCAAGCTTTTAAACAGGCAACATAAAGTATTTCACGTGATTTCCAGCAGGCAACACTAGACCAGGAATGACAATTTAGTTATTAATCCCAAGTCCCTCACTCACTGCACCTCGAATCTCTAAGTCTGGTAAAGGCTCAGTGATTCGAAGCTTCATGGTATCTTTTTTCTAATGAGTTGCCTGGTTCGAAGCTTCTCTCGTTCACCCTCTTGACTTATCCTCTTGAAGTGATTCGGGTGAGGCAATTAAGGGTGGATAAGGCCTTCATACTGATTCATTATAACCTAATTGAGCTGTGACTGATCTGAGAAGCTTCTTTTTTTTAACCCCGTGAAGAGTTACACACACACACACACACACACACACACACACACACACACACACACACACACACACACACACACACAAAGGTTAAGTGTGTTCTGTGATGGTGAAAGGTAACGGTGCACTGGAAGACATCACATCATGTCTCCACTAAACACTCTCACCATTTTTATAGTGACCTGATGATTGTGTTGATCTTTCTCTCACTTCTCTCACCTGTAACTTATCTCACCTGTAACTTAACTCACCTGTAACTTATCTCACCTGTAACTTAACTCACCTGTAACTTATCTCACCTGTAATAAGTAACACGATTAATGATTCTCAAAGGTATATTGCCTCACCTATATGAACTGTGTGAGAGCGATGAAGATTTCCTTATATTCAGAACACTTACTATAGCTGACTTTTGTTGGATTAATTTACTTTCTGAATCAAATTATATACTGATGATCTATAGCTATGGGGAAAATTAAAAAAAAATATACATTGCTAGAGAGAGATTAGTATGGTGTGTGTCTGTATGAGTTCTATGAGGTGATTAACCACGCTCACACCTGACATAGTTCGCTCCTCATTCCTGCACCTGTTTTATATATTAGGGTCATTAACTCAAAGGTGTTTTACGTGTTTAAAGATGAATAATATTAACCCTTTGAGTCCTGGAGGGTTAAACCATCGTCCTTAAAAGGGTTAAACCATCGTCATTAAAGGGTTAAACCATCGTCATCAAAAGGGTTAAACCATCGTCATCAGAGGGTTAAACCATCGTCCTCAAAGGGTTAAACCATCGTCATCAAAAGGGTTAAACCATCGTCATCAAAGGGTTAAACCATAATCCTCAAAGGGTTAAACCATCGTCATTAAAGGGTTAAACCATCGTCATCAAAAGGGTTAAACCATCGTCCTCAAAGAGTTAAACCATCGTCATCATCTTGGTATATAATAGAGTGTGTTGTGTTACAGACGAGCGGCCGGCGGCCATGCAGCAGGGGAACTCAGCGCCTCACCTCCCGTCTTCCTCCTCCGTGTTGGTGTTTCCTGCTGGTGTACTGGCCACCCTGATCACCTCCCTCACCCACCACCACCACGCCCTCATCACCACCACCAGCAGTACTGTGGTGGGCGCTCTGCTGTGGTGCTCCCAATACACGGTGTCCACCTCCCCCACAGACTGCTCCTCCTACTACTACTACTGGATATTACTAGCATCTGGTGTTAGTATGGTCGCCGGCCTGGTCCTGATGGCTCTGATCTACCGAGTTGCCATAATCTGCCAGTTGAGGCTTCGGTCACTCTGCCAGGGGTTCGTCGGGTCCACAAGGGCGGGAGAGATGGGCGTGTCGGCACCCTCCAGACAGTGTGGGTCACAATGGGTGGTAGTGGCAGCAGTTACTCTCGCCCTGTGTGTCTCTCTGTTTCTGACTCTCAGCCACTTCTCCCGTCTCCAGCGTTAGGTGTAATAACTGGTGAAAATTAATGGCTCCATGTATTTTGTGTGTAAGATTAAACTTAATATTTTTTTAGAATAAACATTGTCTATTAGAAGTTGTTTATATTATACTTTATTTTTTTTTATCTTCCTGGGCCAACTGACTCGTCATGGACTCACGCGTAATGGTGATGGATGATGACAGCTGCAGCGATAACTAGTGTTGGTATAGTCTCAACAAACTGAGTTATAATTGAATATTCACGCCGCTGAGGAGGTGAGGTTGTATCGATCATGAGAGAGAGAGAGAGAGAGAGTCTGTGTGTGTGTGTGTGTGTGTGTGTGTGTGTGTGTGTGTGTGTGTGTGTGTGTGGAAAACTAAGCGTGTGTTGACTCCACCCGCTAAAGACAACACCTCACCTTTTTAAATCAATTATTTACATATGAAAAGTAACATTTAGTTGTGGTGGTAAATATTAATCGAAACTTAAAACAAGATTAAGTAGAATAAAACACAGCATTTAATGATCTTACACATCTATTGAAAAAGGGAGATATTTACCATTGGCTCTTTGAAATACTACACATAAGTGGTAATGTGTGTCAGAGGTTGTAGATGTCCACCAGTGACCAAGACGAGGGTAAGAGGACATCAAAAGGAAAGGAGGAAATAATGGAGATTTGTCGAATAAGGAAAATGAGATAATTAGGTTAGATGGGAAACAGGGAAATATATTAATGGATAAAATTTAAGGTATGGGAGGGCCAAGGGGTGGGAGGAGGAGTGGGAGGAGGGAGGAGGAGGGAGGGGAGGAGGAGTGGAGAGGGAGGAGAGGGAGTGGGAGGGAGGAGAGGAGTGGGAGGGAGGGAGAGGGAGGGAGTGGGAGGGAGGAGGGGGGAGGGAGAGTACAGACACAGAAGGAATAGGTAACGAAGATATTATGTATGCAGATGACATCACTCAAATAACAACACATCAAGGAAAATCGCGAGCGTTACAGGTCGACAACACCAGGCGGGAATTAGAAAGGGTAAATAACTACGAAAAACAATGGAAAATCCAAACCAGTCTCCCGAAATTCACAGTGATACCCTTATGCAGAAGGAAAACCCATCCATTAATAACCTATAATGCCCAGATAGAATACAAAAGCAGAGGCACCCTCCTGGGCCTACATATATCCACGACAGGTTACTCCCATCATGTCCACAGTAGGAAGGAAAAAGCAAGAAGAGAGCTGAGAAAACTATACCGCTTTAAAGCGCTTCCTGAGAAAATAAAACTCCGCCTGGTGACATCATTTATCACACCGATATTAACTTACCCAGCAGTACCTCTTCATACTATGAGCACCACTCAAATATTAAAATTACAGGTGGTCCAAAATGAAGCCCTAAGATTCGTCACAGGTGAAAGATACCCCTTCACCAGAACCACAGCCGAGATACATAGAGACCTGAGAATGAAACCCATCAACCAGCAGCTGCACACCCTGGCCAGCAGAATCTGGCAAAAGATAGAACGATCAGAGCAAGAACTCCTTCAAAGACTCCCACCAGATAACGTCAACAACCATACATGGTTCCCAAAAAGCTACGAAATCTCAAAAGGTCCATTACCACCCCTGATCTACACGGCCAGGCAATAGACAACCTCCCTAGACCAGCATCCGCCAGTAGGGTCGGCGGAATATGAAATAAGGCCCTTAAAACACCCATAAATGGGACAGGGTAGGCTGTCTAGTGCCTGTACCGACAGACAATAACTAACCCATGACACAACCCTAACACACTTTTAGCTTAGCTAGGCGGTCAGCCCGCCCTCTCTTACCTCCTCCTAAATTTCTTCAATTTCCGAACTATAACTTCCTTCCCCCACCTCTAATCTTCCTTCATTCCTCCTTTCCCTAAAAAAAAAAAAAAAAATTCAGATTAAAAGCTGTGGTCTGGACCCTGAAAACACATAACATCTGGGAAGAATTGATAAAGACGACCCCATAACATTATGAATGGTGGACTGTGGTCGCGAACCCTCATACATATAATGAAATCTTATCTGATTGACATATATACTCTTAAATAAATACAATCTGGTGTCTCTTATGGTTTTAGTACTACGAAACGATTCACAATACCTCACAAACCTAGAGACAGACACTGAGACAGACACTCCAATTGACTAAGAAAATCCTGATACTTATAAAGTCTTAAGAGTATAATTTATTTATTTATTTATTTATTTTTGTTTTTAGTCAACCAATGAGAAATGCAACCACACCTCTGACGTCACAAGTATAAGGTATTACGTCATTGACTCACTCAGGCTGTGTTGAGTGTCCGAGTGAATGTTTCTAACTCAAAGGTATATATCTCATACGTCATGTGTTGCTGTATTTCTCGGTTCATGTCTTGCAAGAGTTTATTCAGATTGCAAAACGCCGCTTATCGGTCTTCACACTTTACTGCTAACTGAGAAAACTGTCCATGGAGGCTTCAGAAAAATGTCATATGTGTGATGTATCGGGATCGCAAGACTCAGGGTTCATGGCTGGGACGGAAGACTCATTTAACCGTGTCTTGATCCTCCTCTACCCAAAGGCTCACCAGGTCACTCCGGAAGACTCACCCGCTACAAACGCTTCCACCTAAATGATGTTGCCAATTTGTGCAGCTCAGGTGTGTTTAAGCTCAACCTAACCTAACGTGGAGTGTGGTGGCTTCATTACCTGGCCTAAACATATCAAGGTGTGACTTATTTACCTGTGGCCTCATTACTCATCTGCACCCCTCGACAGGAGGCTCCAACTCTCTATCCTCATATTAATCTAATTACATCAGTTTATTTTTTCTCTATTTATTGGAGAGAAACAGACGTAGGAGTGAAGGGTGAGAGGTGAGGTAAGGTCATCTACACTCGTTGTAAAGGCCTGGGACTTAGGGATATGAATCCCTTGCCAGCCTAATCAGGATCTTATAAAAGGAAAGTCAAGAACCATGGTTTTCCGAGGGATAAAAAACAACAGTTAGAGATTGACATCTCTTTACTATGAAAATAACACAAAAACTGACACCACTCACACAAATATTAAACAAACAATTACGGGAGTCAACAATTAATGGAGTCAAACAATTAGAGGGAGTCAAACAATTTATGGGAGTCAAACAATTAATGGGAGTCAAACAATTAACGGGAGTCAAACAATTAAGGGAGTCAAACAATTACGGGAGTCAAACAATTACGAGAATCAAACAATTAACGGAGTCAAACAATTGGGAGTCAAACAATTAACGGAGTCAAACAATTAACAGGGTCAAACAATTACGGGAGTCAACAATTAATGGAGTCAAACAATTAGAGGGAGTCAAACAATTTATGGGAGTCAAACAATTAATGGGAGTCAAACAATTAACGGGAGTCAAACAATTAAGGGAGTCAAACAATTACGGGAGTCAAACAATTACGAGAATCAAACAATATATAGAATATTTCCTACGGAGGTGGCCCGGTGGAAGGTTCCGTAAAGCAGTGATCCGCTCTCAGGAGGAAGGTCAAGGCAGCTTCCTCACTTGGCGCCGGCGGGCGATGTCTTGCTACACAGGACAGACGCCCAGGGCACGGACGGTGGATAGGGCGTGGAAGAAGTGGCGATGACGTGGCAGCCGTGGTAGTAGCTTGAGTAGGTGTCCGGAGATTGACAGTCGAATAGCGAAGGTCTGGGGAATCAGCCCATGAGCCCTAGGAGCCTCAGATGAGCACACAACCAGAATTTGAACGAACAGCGGGGTGCAAGTACAGCTGTGTTGACGGCTGGGTAGTGTCTGGTGTGCGATGAGCCAGCAGCGACCTTCTCACCTCCGTCTACCCCCCCTAGTGGGGGACGCGAACAAGCGGCGGACAACCATCCTGCTTGTTACAGCCCTGACAGGTCATAACAGAAAAACCACACAGGAATCGTTCGTGTCTTACGAATAAAATCATTATTAATAGCAATAATATAATAATATCAATGCTGGTCAAACACGAAACGAAGAATCACCTTTATTTCTTTATTTAGGACAATGAATTTATGATGGGTTATAAAACTATATATTCATGTTAGACAGACAGACAGACAGACAGACGGTACACACGCACGACGCTAAGACATGTGTCGATACAGTAGTAGCCTTTGTCATAGCTCGCTACCAGACGCTGTTTCTAAGCAGTGAAAATTTACCTGTGCACCTGTAGTTGTCTCTATTCTAATAGTAGTAGTTGTAGTAGTAGTAGTAGTAGTAACAATATTCATTCACATTCTCGCAAGCCCCTTTTCGCTATGATACTACTACTACTACTAATAATAATAATAACAAAATAATAATAATAATAATAATAATAATAATAATAATAATAATAATAATAATAATAATAATAATAACAATGATAATAAAAAAACAAAAAAACAACAACAATAATAATAATGAAAATATCAACACCAATAGTATTAATAACAACAACAATAATATAATAACAATAACATTAATAAAAAAAATACTATTGATAATGAAAACAACAAAAACATCACGGACTCAAAGGATAAAGAACAGTGTCCATTATCCCAGTATTTTTAAGACACATGAACCACCAATACTTCTACCACCTCTCTACCACCTCTCTACCACCTCACTACCACCTCTCTACCACCTCACTACCACCTCTCTCACGCCTACCACCGCCCGCCCCATCCCCAGTGCACACTATGGGGACGTCAAGGCGTTTCATTTAAGGCTGAAGATTGGTAAAATAATCCAGGAATTAATGTGGTTTAGGTTAGTTAGGTTAGGTTAGGTAAGGTTAGGCTAGGTTAGGATAGGTAAGGTTAGGTTAGGATAGGATAGGTTAGGTTAGATTAAGTAAGGTTAAGTTAGGTTAGATTATACTATATTTTGATCAGATTAAATGAGGTTTCGCATATTCCTAAAGGCAGATATATTTGGAGGGTTGAGGGGGAGGAGGGTGAGAACCGAGACAGACCCAACGAAAATCCGAAACGTGTAGTGAACCCGTACGTAACCCGGCGATATGACCAAGTATACTATCTCAGAATTACTCCCCAAAACTCACGAACAACGA